CTCAGGGCCAGATCTTACTGTTTGGCTGGAAAATGCCTTCTCACTTTATCCGCTAGCCCTCGTTCTTCCTTTTGACGAAAGCTGGTGTCGCAAACACAACCATTGCCTCGTTTATGACCGAAAAGAACTCTGGGAAATTCCACCACAACTCGAGGAGGCAACACCTCACATTTCCATTTTAATAAATTATTAGAATCGTGTCTGGCCATCCAGTCCTACCAGCAAAATATCACATCGATCGAGACTTTTACCACTCAAAACCGGCCCAAAAAGCCTTGGTAGGTCCTGGTAGCCATCCACAGATGGGCCAAAGACACGACTTCACTTGTGAACTCGCCAAGCTTGCATGAAAGCATTTTGGCGGTCCAGTCTACATGAAACCACCTCTCACCTCTGGCCCAAAAAGCCTTGGTAGGTCCTGGTAGCCATCCACAGACGGGCCAGAGACACGACTTCACTTGTGAACTCGCCAAGCTTGCATGAAAGCATTTTGGCGGTCTACATGAAACCACCTCTCACCTCTGTTTTCTTTCAGAGGCTTGCCTCTACCCACACTCCAGCTTAATAATGCTGTCCTGAGGGCTTCTCATTTTTTTTGTGTAGAGGGAAAATGGCTCGAAAAACACTTATAAACGCGAGAAAACGAATCGAGTTGAACCATATCCTCTACTAACTATGATTTGAACGCATCCAAACACGAGCGGGGCATCTAGGTCACGTGACCCCAAATTCTGAGCCCACGGTGTCTCAAAACTGCAAATATTGTAAGGGATACTTCATATAAAGACAAACAAAGTGAGCTTAAGTTTTGTATGGCCAAATTATAAGGTTTTTTGCCGGACGGTAAAGAGTTCAGAACAAAGGAAAATTTGACGGGTATCCCTCTGGCTTTCCATTGTATTAAACAATAAGAAAAATTAGTTCAATGACTCGAGCCCGATGATTTTTCCAATTGGAGAGTCCAGTCATCAGCAGAAGTAAAATGAGGAGATGAACGTCATTCTTCTCGTTTCCATCTTCAATCCACTTCTTTTTAGCACAATACTGTGATTGTTAACAATTCGAACTCCTAATGAAGGAACCGAAAAATGGTTCGAGTTAGCGGAGGTTCGAGTTATCGGGACTGGTATTGAGTTTCCATTATCCTGTTAAGAATCATGGGAATCACGCTTTTACCAATTTTGCACAATCAACATTAATTTTCGTTTATGTAGTAATTCTCTTTATAGTAGCTTTTAGATATAACTTGTATATAGTATATATAACCTATATAGTATATAGTATATATTATATATTATATATTATATAGCATATATAACTTGTATATAGTATATCTTTTTGCATAACTTGCACTTATTGCAAAAAGATGTACATCGGCGAAACAGGCAGAAGACTAGGTGACCGATTCCGAGAACACCTTCGAGACGTGGAAAGGAATGACAAGGACACATCGAAACCAGTCGCTAGGCATTTTAATTTACCTAATCATTCTAAGCAACATATGGCAATCTGCGGTCTTTCCTTACACTTAGGTAGCACGGAAAGCCGTAAAAATCTTGAACAAAAGCTCATCTTTCAAACCGGCAGTCTAAATCCCACAGGGATCAACGAACGCTTTTCATTCCACTAATTTATTCTTGTTTTTCTCGTTGCCATGTTCCCACCAATAACGTAGCTCCATTCTCTGCCTTTAAAAGCACACACAACCCACAATTCCTCTATTCGCTCCGACGAAGGGCTAACGCTCGAAACGTCAGCTTTTGTAATCGTTACGGTGGCCAATTTACCACTTCAACTTTGTTGATATATCCAAATTATTTCGTTACTCCCACCGACGCAGCCCCAAACAGTTTCTTTCGAAACTATCAGCCTTTATTCAACCGAGAAAAGAGACGATGAAAAATTGAAATCAGTAGAGTACTTTCGCTCGATAGAATATTTCGCTCATTCGATGGATTGAGTCTGTGAATCAAGTTTAGCACTAACAAAACAGCCAAGAAGAGGTATGAACAGAACTCAAGTTAATCGAGGCGGCTAATTAACCCGATCGCAAAAGCGAGAGTCGTCACCGATTCACATACTTGAAATAACTGAGACACCCAGGTAATGGACTGTCTCGAACTTGCGCACCAAACACAGTTATGTTATTTTCAATTCAGCTAATTTGCCGCTGTCAGATTAACTTCATATTATAATTTTAGTTTTGAATTACTCATCAATATTCCTATATATTCCCATATGTTTACCAAGTCCATCGCAAATATTATAATTTTGGCCTTACTCCACTCTGATTTGCAATTTAAAAACAATCTTAAATTAGCCATTTACTCTTAGTGCCACGTAGTGTGAGAAGGATAGTGGAGATTCTGCCAATACTGTGCTCTCTTCTTTTTTGGACAGTTGTTGTGAGGTTCGAAAAGTGATAGCTATGCTGTGTATAAAATTATTTTACCATATCTGTAGCCTACATTTTGATGCTTATCGTTCACGTGTAAGATTTCTATAATTTGATGAATGGTTTGTATGTATCAACCTTACTCATTTAC